TCGTACGGGCATGCAGCTGATCTCGCTAAGCGCTAATGAGCAGGACCTTCCTCTGCACGTCTCGTACGGGCATGCAGCTGATCTCGCTAAGCGCTAATGAGCAGGACTTCCTCTGCACGTCTCGTACGGGCATGCAGCTGATCTCGCTAAGCGCTAATGAGCAGGACCTTCCTCTTCATGTCTCGCACCGGCATGCCACTGCCAAGCAACTTGACTATCTGATCTTTCTCTAGTTGCGCTTTGTCCGACTGGCCCTCCCCGAGTTACCCGCGCCTCCTGCCTGCTCTCCATCCCTTCCGCCCTCCTCGTGACAACCCTCGTGGATTTCCCTTCTATGTGTGTCTACGTCCTCGGACTGACTCCACGGCTCTTCGAACCTCGGATCTCCTCCTCTCAACTACAGCTTCTGGACACGTTATGACCCTTTTATTGCCTTCTGACTCCTCTCTGTCTCATCCCCAATAAACCTGTTTTTTTGGAATCTTCTGTCCTGGTCTTGTGCTACGGTACAACTACATTGTTTGTGCCCCCTCAAATAACGTATTATTATTACCTTCTACTTCAGGGATACCTGCTAAATGAAAATAATTAAATTGTAAAAGGAGACAATAGCTGACAAAAATACAAAATATTAGCTGCTGTTTTCAGTTGGATTGAAATGTATGTGTGCAGTTAATTTAAAGCCCATTAACTGAGGCCCATCTTACGTCTGCAAAAATACGCCATTGCACTAAAACACACTAGATCTTAGAGCACCTGTAGCCTCAACCTCTCTACCTCAGCTTTGTTCCTTCGACAGACATGTGCCCTTAAATGCTCGCTAGGCTACCCTTCAGCACACCACTGTTACCCTCCCCCCCAGTACAGAAACAGTTAATAAAAACTCCCTTAAAAATGTCATGTTGGGCCTGAGTCAGTGGGCCAGCTTTAGGATGGGCACCTGGGCCCTCCCGCAGCTAGACGATATCTGTACTGTAGGGCATATTTGCTGTTATTAATCATGACGTTTGCATGCACATTCCTCATCAAAGTTAAATAAAATACAGCGATCAACATGGGGGGGGGAGGCTCTAAAGGCACTGCTTTTTAATTATTGCTTTGGTTATATGCAAGTTTTACTTCTAGACTTGATGAAATCTAACACCCTGACATGAATATGCTGTAAGATGTTTCCCTTACATTTCTATCCCATAATACTGAAGTGAATTATGAAGTTTGTTTACCTTCAGCAAGATCACATGATCTTTCATCTAAAAGCATAGCTGGTGCCGATCTATGGCTGTACTTCAGCCACAAGTCTTTTAAAAATGAGAAAATGCTCTTTCCATGTAAACAGGTAGTGACTGTATCAACTATGATGCCAAGAGGCTTTTCATTGCAGCTGCAAACTATCTTCAGTAAACGCTGAAATGGCAGCATAATTCCTAGCCCTGCTTTCATTCATATGTCATCATTTATGCTACAGTATTGCTACTCACCTTCGCTTAATGCCCATTAGCTACAATAAAAACATTGTATAGCATAATGCAGCCAAGTCCTTGGCCTGTATGTTTCTATGGCTGAATTTAACAGCTGCAAGCCCTCTATCTCACACATAACATCAAATGGACATGATGAGCTTGTTACCTGATGTACAGATCTGCAGAAGATGCGCCGTTTACCTCCCCCAGCCTCAGACTGACTTCCTGCTAGCTGACAGGAGCCACCCAGAGCTTGTGCTCCTCACGTGCCATCAGTGGGACATCCCTGACACACAGCTATGTGAATCCCTACCTCTACCAAGGATGTAATTTCAAACGAAATCAGTGTCCCGTACATACTGTGTGACAGTGGGCACGGACGTTCATCTCAGGTTCGTCTTCAAAAACAATGCAGTGGCTCCCCCTTCTGGCAACTGAAATATTTGGACTAGTGCTGCTATACATTTTTATGCTATACATTTTTTTCATCACAAATATTTTATTTGAATCAAATATTCAGGTTGGTTTAATTAATCAGAAATGTGTTTAATTTGAAAATTTATTAAAACTTTGTGTGTGAGCTCCCTCTTACAGCCAAAGCCACACAGTCAGGCTAATGTACACTCAGCTAAAGGATTATTAGGAACACCTGTTCAATTTCTCATTAATGCAATTATCTAATCAACCAATCACATGGCAGTTGCTTCAATGCATTTAG